GACCTGTCGCTTGTCTTGGAGCCGCTGGGACCGGCAAGAGTGTGGTCGCAAAGGCAGCGCTGCGACAGGCCATGCAGAATGGCGCAGTGGCGGCCGTCGCGTGCCCTACGGGTCTACAGTCGGCCACATACAGGTGCAGCTTTCCCGACGCCCACGTGGAGACCGTCCACAGCTTCTTCGGCTTACACGCGCAAGAAGAACTAACGTTAGGCCTCTTATCAGACTACGATCTGATCGTCGTGGAAGAAGTGGGACAGATCACTTGCGCACATTTCGAAAGGATATGGCGCCTCTGGGAAGCGGTCGATCGACGGCCCGTCTTGCTCTTCGTGGGTGACTTTATGCAGCTTCCTGCAATCGACGACACCTCTGCACGAGACAGTCGTCGGTGGAAGGAAGTCCATGCATGGGAGTTCACCACCCTGCTGCGGAGCGAGTGTGCACAACTTTCAGAGAAACTGGCGTTGCTGCGGCACCAATGCCCGAACGAAGACCAATTACGATGGATTCTACGCGGCCATCGCGCCAGTGTCGCAGGAGGCACCGAACCCACTATGGCAGAGGTCGCAACAGTCCTTGCAAAGCACCCCAATGCGACCTTGGTGACATATACACGTCGAGCTGCAGCAGAGATGAATCGCATGGCCGTATCTGCCTTCTTCCAGGGCGTCGAGCCTGTAGCTTGGATTCCCGCAGACCCAGATAGCAACGCTGATAATTTCCGCGGTCGGGACTGCGTCTCCTTTGCCCCGAACCAGATCGCCATCCATATTGGCATGCGCCTGTCTCTGACAAGAAACATAAACAAAGGCAAGGACCACGTGAACGGCATGAGCTGCATCGTGGAGGCCGTCAACCAGCACAGCCTGGAAGTGCGGACGGCCAGTGGTCGACAATTGGTCATCTCGAGAATCACCGAAGACAAGACTCTTCATGACAACACCGTCTATCGGTCCACCTTCTTCCCAGTTCGTCTGGGATATGCCACGACTTTGCATAAGGTTCAGGGGTCGACCCTGGATTACATGGCGGTCTGGCTGGATAAGCCAAATGTGCGCGCCGCAGGGTATGTGGCGCTGTCGCGCGTGCGGCGCGACAACAACTGGTGCTTTTTCGAGCAGTTGACTGTAGAGCACTTGACACCGTGGCGCCGCCGCGCGTGAGACCCGCTCGACCTTGCCCGCGACTAAAAGCTGGCTTGCATGC